ACGGTATTACAAATTTAATCAGGAATTATAAATTAAAAAGAATATGTTCGACACCGTGATTAAATTAGTGATGCTACATCACATACTTTCTGGCATTATTTCTAACTTTTACAGTTTTATAAAATTCTGCTACTTCAATGAAAAGGAGGCTTGCGCCATTTTAAAGCAGTCTCTACGCATTCTTAAGGCAAAGTTTAATCAATAACTTTGAAGCCGTTTTTGAGAATATGTTGTACAAGGGGAATGTTGATATGTTTTAATGTACATCACAAATCAAATTATCCGTTCCACACTCACAGTGCCTTGTGTTCGTTCAGATAAATCGCAAAATATCAATTTTGAGCAAACCGTTTGAACGGTTTAGGCGCTAGCGTCGACCACAGACGAACGGATGGGCAGACAGTCGTTTGTCTGTTAATCAATTTTTCGGTATCAAGGACTGACAAAACGTGAATTCTAACTATACACCCTTTTAGACGAAGTAATTTGATACTTATAGAAAAAAATAATCCACTTTTTCATTATCAGAACTCGACAATAAGAGTGTCTTATGTCGAGAAATGGTTGATTTCCGTCGCATGATTGCGATACTGTATATTTACTATGTACGCAGGAAGTACGAGAAAGTAAAAGTAACGAAGTATTTATAGTCATCCAAAATTAATGGAACGCAGTAAACATTAACATGTATCATTCACATATCTCACACTCGTCAGAAATCCATATTGGTATAGTACAAAATTGTCAATCAATATCTTAAAATATTTATCTTCGAAGCTTACTTAACTTATTTAAAGTAATCGAAGTTTACTTAATCTGAAAATATTTATTACCGAACAAACAGTTCCAGAGAGCTGTACAAGGATATAAACTAATTAAGGTTATGAAAAAGAGATGAAACAGAAAAGATAGAAGCAAAAATAACGACTCACTTAACGATTTAAAGGGAATGAGGAAAAGGAAGAAACTCATGAAATTCAGAACTACAAGCGCATTGTTACATTGCAACTTCATAGCAATATTAAATTTTTAGAAATGTTAGCAGTCCCAATTGGTTCACAGTAGTAAAACAGGTGCTTTTCATCCATTACAAAATGTAGATATAACTCTCAAAAATGCTCTTCAGATCAATAACGGTAGTAAGAAAAAAATATCGTATAAGAAATGAAGAATTTCGAAATTTGCTAGGAGCCTTTAAAACTTTTACCAGATTTTCCCAACGATCTGGATTCCGATCTTAAAGGCTAATATGCCCAGATTTAATTTCGGTATTTTATTATGATATTTACGCACACACATACACACAGTATTATATATGTTTAATATTTTAGGGTTAAGCTTGGATTTCAGTTTACATGTGATTTGATTTCATTAGGAATATGAGCTTTTAATTGGCTATTAATAATGTATGTTAATAATAATTTTTAGAACATAATTATTTATAAATATTATATATTAAAGGTTCATTGAGAGGTTAAGTTAATTTTTGTTTTATATAATAATGATAAAATTAGTAAATGATTTGTTTATTTTATTATATTGATTATTTATTTTAAGGAATTAAGCAAAAATAATTGTTCTCCTGTTTATCAAAAACATGTCTTCTTGATTTAATATGAAGTCGTGCCTGCCGACTGAGATTTAAATAGCCGCAGTATATTGCCCGTCCATAGGTAGCATAATCATTAGTCCTTTAATTGGAGGCTGGAATGAATGGTTTGGCAAAGCAGTAACTGTCTCGGAATAATGAATTGAATTTTACTTTTCAGTTAAAAGTCTTAAATGATAACAAGGGACGAGAATACCCTATTTATCTTAAAAATAGTATATTAAAGTTTATGATTGGTTGTATTTTATGAATAACTCTATCTTAATTTAGTTAGGGTGACAAGGAAATATTTAAACTTTAACTACTTTTTATTCAACTATGATGATTGATTAATTGATCCCATTTTATGGAATAAAGATATATGTACCTTAGGAAAAACAGCTTAATGTTATTGAAGATTTCATATTGATAATATGAATATGATTATAATCTCGATGTTGGATTAAGAAAATTGTTAAGTGCAGAAGCTTAATGTGTTTGTCTGTTCGACCATTAAATTCTTACATGATCTGAGTTCAAATCGGTTTGAGCCAGGTTGGTTTCTATCTCTGTTTTATGACATGTATTTTAGTATTAAAGGATTGAATACATTAAATAATTTATTGTTTGGAATTATATTAATTACTATTTTAGCAGAGGTAAGTTGAATGAATTTAGAATTCATGAATATGATATTGCATATAGTTGTTTAATTATAAAATGTGTTTAATTTGCTATGTTGTTTTAGTTATTTTATATTGGTTGGTGTAGCTTTATTAACTTTATTGGAACGTAAGCTTTTGGGATATATTCAAATTCGTAAGGGTTCTAATAATGTTGGTATTATAGGTATTCTTCAGTCTTTTGCTGCCATTAAATTGTTTGTAAGGAGCAAACGTATTCTATGATATATAATTATTTATATTTTTATACCCGGTGATTAGATTACTTTTCTCTTGTGATTTGATTAATTTATCCTTTGGGATATGAATTGGTTTAATTTGATTTGGCATTATTAATTTTTATTGTTGTACGGGAATAGGGGTTTATTCTATAATGTTGGCTGGTTGGTCATCTAATTCTAACTCTCTGGAAAAAACCTGTAAAATGTTGCTGTTCAGTACTGTGGGGTTAGCGAGTACAACCCTAAAATCTATGTCCTCGTTAACCTCACCCTCCATTTTGAACATTTTGTTTCAGTATCACTTGGTACTAAAATGAAAAATACTTAAACAGTGTGCAGAAGATAACTAAAACATCAAGTTATTATAGGAATTAATTAATGTTTTAAGATCAAAACTCTACTTTCTTATTAATCGAATCGCAACTTTTTTGAATTCAATTACAAAACACACTTCTCACCATTATCCGAAAACTCAAGATCTACCGGCCAAACTTGACTGCCTTAAAAAAGACTGTGTGGCGAATTCCTAAGAAATGATTTTAACAGATTGTTTGTGTTACCTATGGTATAACCACATGTGTTAACTGTAGCTCCAATCTTTACTAGCCCCCCTCTCCCTACTTTAAATTCTCTTAACGCAATATCTTTCAAATAAATCAATAACTTTACTGAAATATGAATTTATCTAAAAAATTGCATGTTTGCAGTCATAAAATGGGTACTGAATTATTGTGAAATTCTTCTAATACTAATATATTTTGCAATCGAGTTTCTTCGGCTACAATGGCAAACATTAATCATATTCTTGGTAGAGCGCAATTTTCATTTTGTCAGAGTGAAAAGGGACGTCACATAGTGTAGTAGAGTTAAGATGATTAAGTGCAAATTCACCATTGGTTTCGGCAATAATCAAAAACGCGAGAAGTGTGCAATGTTGCCCTATTTGTGCGTGGCTACTTGTGACATCCTAATGAAAAGTGTATGGCTAGGTCATTTAGCAGTTAATTGCCTGTCATTTCACACATCTTACGAGCCACATAACCTTGCTAAAAGAATTCTTTGATTGACGATGAATTATTATAGACTCGGATACATTCAGATGACGTCTCAATAACAGGTGCTGCTCGCCGGACGTTCCACAATGACAAGGTTGTAATGGGGGCACGGTTCGTAGGGGGCCGAGTGCATTCACGACTGAAAATATTATGATGTCTGCACTCCAACAACTGCTTCATGTTGTTCATTTATACGCCACCCTTAGTTATTCCGGTTCATGAGATATTTCAATTCGCTAAGTACTTTCTCAAATCCAGATTCTTTTTGTCCTTTACGCAATAGTAACTCTTTAATTGTTGATATAAAAGACTCATAAGTGCTTTCTTCACTCTTCACTTCTGTTCTCTGGCCTACTTTTCGATGACTAAATCCTATTTCTCTCTTTAACTCCGTACAAGACTGGAACGAGTTAGAACATTGTCCTTGATTAACTGCATTTTCTTCTGGTGGTTGACGTCGTGCAGTCAATTAAGAATGCGATGGTAGATGACGGGATACGTTGTGGAGGAGAAAAGCTCTGAAAATAGATGTCAGAGCTTTATTTATTTGCTTTATTTTTCGCAAAATAAGCTATTAGAATTATGCTACGTGTGCGTTTATTTCTAAAGAAAGTTCCAGCGATCCTAGAAACAACTAAGATAGGTAGTTGTAATACAATAAAATCAAAATAAATAAATAAATAATAGGATAAATATTATGTGTTAAATGATAAATAACCAATTAACTTATTTGGATTCTGTTCTATTTCGCATTAATATTTCAGATTTTTAATGTGATCAAACAGCAAAATACTCATGAACATCATGATGCCTCTTGAAACGAATTGCTCAGTGATTGATAACGAATTGGATACATCATTTGTTTGAACTGAAAGAGAATCTCCAATATAAAAAAAGTTATCTTCGAAAATAATAATTAATTTCAAAAATATTTCTTGATTCTTCTTCCGACAAAAAAGAAAGCAGTGAGCTCTAAAATGTTTGCAACGACTTGGATGTCTCAGGGCATCAATTGATGTTACAGGGAGACAACAGGGAGATCCTAGGGTTCGAGTCCGGACGGTGGCAGGATTTTCTTCACTAGCTACAGAGCTGGGTCGAATTCAATTGCTGTCTGGAAGAGAATTATTGCGGCAGGCTTTTCTAATAAGTAGTTTTCTATGGTTTCTTCGATTAACACCAGGCAAATGCCAGAGGAGTACCGAAACATACAACGGACCACGCGCGATCTCACCTTCCTCTTCCTTGTCCTATTTTCACCCCTTACTTACGTCCCTAACACACCCTGCACTACACTATCATACATCGAAAGACCAGCCGGGAGCTTAGATCTTGTCGCGGCTGGGCCGTTGCCCCTCTGGTATGACATATCTGATTGGCGAAAATCCTTCTGTCGTGTAGGTCGGCGCCGAATCTCGCCATCCAGCTGTGATATATCACCGCCACATCCCGCGATGAAAACATGCTACACTTACGGGAATGACAATCTTAGTCCTTGGCGTTGCCGGTATCAAAAATCAACCAAAAGTTTCTGTGGTGTGGGCATTATCTGACGTGGTAACGAGCAGAGAGCGGCCGCAGGGCAGTGGTTGTGGAGGCGGCTTAGCGGTTTCCCGATCTCTCTCCCTCGGTGGCTTTTCCTCGCTCTCAACCCAGCGCTGAGCTTCTTTTCGCGCTCGACTGCGCGGAACGGCGCGGCGGCGAAACCCTGCCCTCCTCGCCTCGCTCTTGCCTTCGCTGCTCCTGGCGGAAATAACGAGACGAGTGGCGGCGCTCAGTGTGGTGACGAAGCGCCGAGACGGCAGAGGGTGCCCGCCAAATTCAAATTGTTATATGATGACTACAGTATGTATGAATGTATATGGCGCGACAGCCCGTGCACGGGCTCAGGCCTACCGGCGACAACCCTGCCTCGCGGCCATGCGTTCATGGGGGACGTGTGGTTAGAGCGTAGACATCCCCACGCCGTATTCTAGTCTTCTCAACCTGAGAAGTGAATTTTCTCATCGTCACACAGCAACATGTACTGGGGCATTGCAAGGAATCGAACCCGAGGTCACGTAGTGCCTACCCAAACATTTAATGGAAAACAAAAATTATTTTCATTACATTATAATGTGATTATTGATATTTTGTTATTCACAGTTGCGCTTCACGTTTTGCCCCACTGTCGAATAGTGAGGTCAAATAACTTGACTTGTCTATTTATTCCCGATAGAAGATTACAAGGGCGGCAAAACTGGTATGTTGCTCTTATGTAGAACACAGTTTTAGAAACGTACACAAATGTGTATTTGCATATTTCATGGGGTCAAATACCTCCTCAGCTATCTGATTGATACCGCATCATATACAGTTGTGTCCATAGAATAACATCACCACAGAAGGAAATCCTCAATGCTAATCTAGAAACGAAACCGTCCGCAGTGCTCCAAGTGGCCTGGCAAGGAACTTCGCCCTGCGCCCAGCCTCCACCGCCACCGCTGTCGCTCGTCTTCCGCAACCTTGTACCCTTCCGACCTATAACCATTAAGCTATAAACTAGTTTAGTGAAGATTTCAAGCAATATTCATAAGAAATAACATGAAAATATGATATCGTGGATGTTAATTTTCGTATTAGATAATATGTAGATAGCAACGTAATACAGACATGCTTGTAATTATGATATCGATGGTTACATTTTAACAAAATGTATCTTAAACTTTGTTGCGGTTTTCAGAAAGAAAGAACATGGGAAAGTTTTAACTAAAAGTGCAAAAATGCTACCAACTTCCTTCATTTTAACTAGTTTCTAGTTAATTTCTGTGACGTGAGAATTCGGTATAACATGATCTTGTCTTTCGAGTGTATTTATCTAAGAACGGCTTGACTGACCCCTCAGTATTGTTATAATTTAGCCACCGGAAAGTAGGAATCTTTAATAATCAATCTTTCGACCAAGTAGGCGTGTCCTCCTCACGACTGAAATTACATATTTCCCTGAGCCCTGAGCAAAGCACGATGTGCTGGTAATATGGCGGCATAGTGAATACCACAGACTCAACCCGACCCGCAGACGAAATCTAATAACTCAGAATGCAGGATTCTAAGATATACGTATGTAAACATATGTACACAGGTCCATATATGTATTTAGATCGATGCAAACGTGGATGTTCATCTTGATCACCCCTTCTTACCAGAAATTGAAATTGTCTTCCGTAGGTTATTTTTGCGTCGTAATGTACATAGTTAAAACATCAAGATTCTTCTCCGTATCACTTGTCATAACAGTATTTTTCTCCTCTTAAATTCACTTACTTTTAGGTTGGCTATGACGCTAATTTAAAAACAAAAGCCAACTTCAGAAATAAAACCCGCTAATAAGCTGAAATGGAACAGCCTAGGATATACTTTGTAGTAAAAAATGGGAATTTTACACCAATATATTATTTCTAAATAACACAATATTACTTATATTACGTTTATATTATTACATATAAAAATACGATTTAGAACTTACTATCCTAACAGTGCACAACACAACTTTGGGAGTAATTATTGATATTTCCAGAATTATTCATTTCACACACCTCTTCTTGCAGCATCCGCTGTCTTCCTATCTTATCCTTTCTCGCAATTCTTCTACGTTTCGTCGTATGTGCCTGTTAACTAGAGAAAGTTGCTTTGTAGCTTTTGCTACCTCATGTCAGTACTTAGGTTGTCCTGTTGCGTGTGAAAGTAGAACTTCTTTAAGGACGCGATCTTAGATTTCATTTTCATTCTTATGCCCCTGAGAACAATCGTGACGCAGGGTTTGTAGAGAAGCTCCAAAGTATTTGCTTTTTGAACATGTCATTTACATTTACGAGTATTAGTGATCCTTATTCGAATACATTCGTTGTAGTATATACTAATTATTGAATTTGAGAACGTAAAAAATAAGCATTGAGATTAAACTGAAAATTCGGCAGAATGTTTTATTTGTAAAAACTGCAAATCATTGTATTTATTTTTGATAGAACCTCTTATTTTTATTTATTACTTTATGGTACTATTAGGCCCTATTTTACCTTCATCTTATCTTCAATAGTAACCAGACTTTTATTATCATTTAACCTTGTGGTAAGGATATAAAATTTACGCACATATTTTGCGAGTAAAATATGAAAATAAATGTTGCATCATA